TAAATGAGAGTGTAATAGATATTCTCACAAAGTATTGTGGCAATGATGCAGCAGGAAAAACCAATAGAAAAAGAGGGGGAAAAATTGCACCAGGAAAATTGATCAAAATAGATGACATTGATTATAGACACACATCAAAACAGAAAAAAATTATAGACACACATCAAAACTTAAAAAAATATATATTAGAACCAAAAAAAAAAAATTATATTTAATGGAATTCTATAAAGGAAAGATATAATGTTATATCAAAAAAATAAAGTTCAAAAATTAATTTATACGAAAGAATTTATTTGAAAAAATGCTCAAAAACCTATCAAAGTCACCCCGTTTGACGGTAAATCATTGACATTAAGAACAAATAAAAAAGGGCCTAGTACAGAACCCTGAGGTACACCGCTAGTTTTTCCATTTAGATATAGAATCACTCAATACTACTCTGTGTTTTCTGTTTCTGAGCCACGCTTCGATCCATGCAATCAATTGAATTTGTATGCCATATGCTCTTATTTTATGAATGAGTCGGCGATGGGGCACTTTATCAAACGCTTTCTCCAAGTCATTGTACACTATGTCAACTCGATAAATATTTTGAATGGCTTTTGTAACAATGTCCAAAGTTTCAAGTAAATTGATAACACATCCTTTTTTTATGATGAAACCGTGTTGAGATATCGAGATAATATTGCTTTTCCTACAGTATTTTATAATTGCTTCACGAATAAGATTTTCTATAATATTACTTACAATAGATGTTAACAAAACTCCTCTATAATTTGAAGCTTCTTATTTACTGCCTTTTTTAAAAATTGGAGAAATATTTGCCAGTTTCCACATATCAGGAGTTTTACGACTTTTCATTGAAAGACAATAGATAATTTTAATGGAATCGCAAAACCTTTTGCACATTCTTTGAGCACTCCAGGATAAATGTTGTCGTATCCCATTGATTTTGTTGTATTTAATTTTTCAATACGTTCTTGAAAAATATCTTCAGTTATTACTAGCTCCGTTGATGTGTTGTAGAATGCTTTAGTTTATGTTGAAAATCTAGAAAAGGACTAGATGGCTCTTCTTCAAATACCGAATAAATATAATAGTTTAATATATTGCATATCTTGTTATTATCAATAGTAGTTATATTATTTTTGTCTTTTAGAGCACAAATTAATTGTCGATCTGTGTGCTTGATTTGGATATATGAATGAAATACTTTTACACTTGATTTGGCTTTTTCAACGAACTGTGTCTCGTAGTTTTGTATTTCTCTTTTTACAACTTCTTTAACGCTTTTACAAGCAATTTTATATTCGGCTTTAATAATATTTTTATTTGCATTCTTCCCAGCAGAGATACATTTTGCCCATAATTCATGTTTGTTTCTCCGCTTTTTTTACACTTCTGGCGTAATCCATGGATCCTTTTCTTCACAGTACTTCATCGATTTTTGTGAAATAATTTTTTTTTTTTTTTTTACAATTTTTGCTAATAAAAAAAATTTACAGTCGTAACTTATAAAAAAAATATTTACATGACTGGGGCTAGAAGAAGACAAATTTAGTCTTATCATTAAGCCCCAAAACCCAAATTTGCATCCTTTTTCATATTCGATAATTAGTAAATTGTAACATGCATTGACTGATAGATCTTTGAATAATTTAACTCAATTTTTTGTACTTATGTGCTTATTTATTTCTGCATAATTTCCCCTGCTCCATATATAACAACTCCTTGAAATATGAGACTTAACAACGTTACTATTAAGTAACGCTAAATTCTAACATAAATTGGGCACGTCTTCGAAAAGTACTGCCAAGTGGTACGTTACACGTTATATCTAAGAAACGATTAGGGGTGTTAGTGATAATAAGATCCAGAGTTAACTGGCTTATAGTTCATAAGATCCAGAGTTAAATGTTGAAGGAGACAAAAAACAGAGTTTTTTGTCTCCTTCAACATTTTTATTAATGCGGCTAAAAGTTGAATTTCGCCTCCTGCATGATAATATTCATATCGAATATGGAGATAGTTAAAATCAACAATGAGAACCATGCTTGAGCATCCTTTTATTTTATTTTATTATGTTGATTTAGGTGCCCCAAGAAGTCCTTACGGTCTTATCACAGAGCACCGCGGAAGAGCATTTAATAGGAAGTTCACGCCTCCTTCTCAACCGATGTCGCAAAACTTGTCCAGAGGTGGGATTTGAACCACGGATCTTACGCTTCTGAGGCAAGTGCGCTACCACTGCGCCACGGCTGCTAATCCTAATCTGGCAAGAGAGTTTTTTGCTAAATTTTTTGTTTTGTTTATTAACCTGTTTATCTAGATGGAGGCCGATAAATACATCTATCAAGAATTGCATCCTCATTTGTATAGATAACACGCCAGATTTGTACAATATTTTGCAAATTTAGCTTATAAATGTTGATATCAGAGGCTTTAAGATCTTTGCATATGTATAAACAAACCCTTCCCCAAGGTGCTTTGAGTTAAGGTCTTGTCTGAATAACATGTATTCGCTTAGCACTGCTATAGAAGTTTTGCTTAACTTTGTTTTCGTTTTTGCTATTACATGGGGTAGCACAGATTATTTTTAGCACAGATATTTTGCAACTTTTAGCCGGGCAGCTAATTCAAACCGTTTTCTCTCGTCAAGAGAGTTTGCATTCGTTAACCGAAAGAATAATCTATTTATTGACTGCAGTTCCTTCTGACACTTGTGAGATAAATCTTTTATTTTATTGGATTGTTTTGGGTGAGGTTTATTGTGCACAACTGTCGATTGTGTTGGCTTTTTTAATTGATTTTTTGACAATGGCCTTATTAACGAAGACTGTTCGTTGCAAACGCTGTGATTCAACTGCATTAATTGGTTTGATTTTTTCTAGGCGGCTATGGATAACGTAACGAAAGAGCTTTTCCAAGAGAGCTAATTCAATTAATTTGTTGTTCAATCGTTTTTTTTTTTTCATTGTTCAGCTCAATAAAACTTGCTTGCTGTGCTTCTGTT